TACGACTTTATTCTCGTAATACTACAAATTTATTCTCGTAATATTTCGAGTTATTCTCATTCGATTTTATTCTCGTAGTTTTACAACTTCATTCACATAATACTACAAATTTATTCTCATAAATTTCGAGTTATTCTCGTATGATTTTATTCTCATAGCATTACAACTTTATTCTCGTAATTTTATGACTTTTTTCTCGTAATGTAATTTTTTTCTTAGCGTGGCTCTAAAGCTCCATCGTAAAATACACATTAACCATCAATGTGAGAGAAAAAACGGGCTAATTTTGTTTTTTTACTTTATGATTATTTTTTTATATATATATTTTGGTCTGGTCTTCATGACTTTACAAGTACTTTTAGCGGGTTTTTTTTTGTTTTTTTTTTGGTCTTGTCTTCATGAATACAAGTACTTTTAGTGTTGCTCTTTTGAGTTCATTTTTTCATTCTAGAGGAACAGCAGAGTTGCTCCATCTCCAATAAATTTAAGTTGTAGTTTAAAAAAAACAAAAAAACTATTTTACTTACTTTACACTTGCAAATTCGTTTTTGGGGGATAAAGAAATGCTAATGAATGTCACCTGTAGTTTATCCCACCACAGCCATAATACAAACATTTAAAGCGTTATGAAACACACTTGACACTTTGATGAAAAACAAAATGTAGGAGCACAATCTATATGATTGGCTCTAGGAGAAATCATCTTCCTGCTGAAACTGTCACATATTCCTACTCTGAATTATTTGTAGTTGTCGCTCCTGCTGTTTTATAAAACAAAAGTTAGAAAATTAAAAGCACAAAATGTGAGGACTAACTTGGACGGAAAACACATGAACTGTATCTTGTCTCAGGATTCATTATGAGTCTAAACGGAGAGATGGAGTCAGACGTGTAATGAAGATTTTAGTTATTGTAACAGGTGAGAAACTTTCATTTTGGTTGGCTGCTTAATTTAATCTGAATTAATGGAGTTTTGTGGTGGTTGGGTGGGGGGGGGGCATCATTGTTTATGTTGACTTTTACTGAACAACTATGCTTAATGTGTGAATATTGCTGTAAAATACTTTGCTAACGTGATTATTGGTGAAGAACATCGTTGAATCTCGGGATCCCTGGCACATTACATTTTGTATAATAGCAGGTAGTATTTAAAGTATTCCACACGTCATGATTTTGTTTTTAAGATTTAAGCAGAGTCTGATTTCCCACAAGACATGTAAGTATTTCAGTAGAAGAAAGAACAGCACTGGTGAGAGCTTTTAATATATATTAAAAAAAAAAAAAGTATGTCCATTCCTGTCACTTTGATGAGTGTTTTCACAATTTTGAAGATTTCTTCAAACAGGGATTCTGATAAAACTGTGTAAAATGGGGAAAAAATATCAATATATATGTATTTATTATTATGACATTTATCATACGATATTAAATTGATTAGTATTATTGTTGTTAATACTAAAGTAGTTGTCTGACATTAACTTTTTTCAATTCTGTGACATCAAGGGGAAAAAAAGCAGTACAAGGATCACCATTATGGCCTTTGAGTTCGCTGCAAACAGTCCTGACATGTTGAGGCATTGGTGAATCAAACATCTTCTAACTGTATATATTCATTGTATCAAAGACATTGAACCACATTGCCAATGCTCATACATGTTACTTTGTTAGTTCGATATGATGCTATAAATAAGTCATTTTGTACAAAGATTTAATTGCTGTAATTAATTTGCTTTTTATCGAGGATGTTTGAGATTTTTTTTTTTTTTTCTCAGTATTGAATAGTCATTTTTTTCAACTATGCCACTGTAAAAAGAAAAATGGGGGGAAAAATGAGAGCCAAAGTGCGAATTAAAAAATGAACAACTTAAAAACTGCCATCTTGTTGTGACTAGATATGCACTCTGGAATGAACTCGAGATCAAAGCTTTATGGTGGTGAATTACAGGGTTATTACCTGCAGTCATAATATCAGTCTTTACATCCACAGGTGAAAGGAGCAGGTTCTCACTGACAGCACTTAAAGCTGAACTGTAACTGTTTTTCTGTACGACACTTAGGTACAACTCAACCTGCAGTCGTAGGTTTATATACGCAGGTTAACTTTAAGGAAAACTAGAAAATCATAGCATAAACCCCAACAGGAAGATTGAGCCACTACTAGTTTTGACAAAGTAAAGAAAGTATAAGGGTGGAAGATGAACGGAACACAGCTGTGATCTCACCATATTTACACATTCACTCACGCCTAGGGATAATTTATTTACCAATCAGCCTAACATGCATGTTTTTGGTATGAGGGAGGAATGTAAATGGTAAATGGACTACACTTATATAGCACCTTTCTATCTTATCAAGATCCTCAAAGTGCTTTACAATCTGTGCCCTCATTTACCCATTCATGCAGCACTCTACTAGATCTGTACAAAGAATAATCAGTGCTTTACATCACATGCATACACCGACTGGACACATATTTGAGGCATTGAGGGGTTCAGTGTCTTGCCCAAGGACACTTCGGCGTGTGACTGCTGGTGGAATCGAACCCTCAACTCTTGCATTGGATGATGACTGCTCTAACCACTCAACCACAGCCACCAAGGAAACTGGAGTACCAGGAGAAAACCCACACAAGCACAGAAAGAACATACAAACTCCACCCAGAAAGATCCCCAGCTGGGATTAGATCCTGCGACCTTCTCGCTGAGATGCAACAGCTCTACCAACTGCGCCATCGTGCCATCCACAAATAGATTTATAGATATTGAGATACATAGATATATGTAAAATATAAATATATATTTTTTTTCTTTTTGATTTTTTTTTTTTTTTTTGTACACTGGTAAAAAAAAGATTGCATTAAAGCTGTCTAACAATAGGAAAATGAGATGTTGAATAAAATCATCTGTTTATATACACAGTGCATATATATATATACATATATATATATATATATATATATATATATATGTATATATGTATGTGTATGTATATATGTATGTGTATATATATATATATATATATATATATATATATACACATTATATGTATGTGTATATATGTGTATATACATATATATTTATATATATATATATGTATGTATACATGTATGTATGTATGTAAGTATGTATGTATGCATGTATGTATGTATGCATGTATGTATGTATGCATGTATGTATGTATGCATGTATGTATGTATG